GGTCTCTTCCAACTCTATGATTCTATGATTCTATGATTCTATGCTGTGCCAGGAGGATGTTCTGATGCCGTACGCCATGCGTAATGGTGCGTAGCGTCAGGACATCCTCAGGGAGGGGTTGGGGTGGCCGGCGTGCGGCTGCCCCTCCCCATCCCTGCCTCGAGGACACCGCAAAGGGCCTGTCTGCAGAGGCCCTAAGTTATGTTAAAAGATTTTGGTTTTTGCCATGCAATTCAATTCATGCTTCCTCCCTGTTCTCTGTAAGTAAGTTTCATTGATTTTTAACAGGATGGACTTCCAAGTATTCATGCTTAGGGTTGTAGCATGCAAGCAGGAGTATTATCTTAAGGAATGGACTGTAGTTTAGTAGCAGAGGTCAGAAAAATTACATTTTGGACTGGAAACTATAAAGGAAGCTTGCCTCCTTTAAGGTTTAAGAGTAGACACATTAGTGAATTGAAGACTGGAGTTTGTGTAACAACATAATGCTGGTTCAGGTATCAGCATTCAGACTGAGCTATCTGGTACCCAAGCAAACATATGTGTATTATTTTTCAAAAGTCCACCCAGAGAAAATTTACAGCAACATATTAATCAATCATTAAACAGAAGTCAATAAGACACATGCCAAATTACTAATCAAGCATCAAGTAAAAAATATTAATGTTGAACCTTCTCCTTACCTTTCTGATTACTATTATTAGTAGAAAGTTGGCTTAATTGTGTTTTAACTTTTCTCTTAACAGTTTCTTTAAAGTTGTATCTTGTTTTTATGACGTGGTACACTGCCAGCATGGAGTTTAAGTGTTAGACTACGACTCTGGAGACCAGGGTTCGAATCCCTGTGTGGCCAAGGAAACCCACTAGTTGACTTTTGGCAAGTCACACACACTCAGCCCTAAGAAAACCCTGTGATAGGTTAACCTTAGGGTTGCCATAAATAGGAAATGAGTTTAAGGCACACAAGAACACGAAGACGCTAGCATAGTGTAGTGGTTTGAGTATTAGACTAGGACTCTGGAGGCCAGGGTCCCAGCTCGGCCATGAAACCCACTGGGTGACCTCGGGCAAGTCATACTCCCTCAGCAGAAGGCAATGACAAACTTCTTCTGAACTAATCTTGCCATGAAAACGTCATGATAGGTTCATCTTATGGTTGGCAGAAGTCAAAAATGACTTGAAGGCACAACAACAACAGACTGTAAGTAGCTTCCTTCTTTGTGTTTACCGTATATACTTTACTGTAAGTCGACCTCATGTATAAATTGAGGGCAGGTTTCGGGGCCAAAATTATGGATTTTGATGTGATAAGTCAAGGATAAAATTTAGAGCTATGTCACAAGATCTAAAGGATGAAGCAAAAGAAAACGATGCCAAAGAACTTACAAAATTCCAGCAGGCATCACTGTTTGAATTCATATTAAAGGCTGGATGGATGAAAGAATAGAGGTGTGTCAGTGCTACCAGGGCAGATCATACTCTTGCCTTTAAAAGGATGGTTCTTTTTTTAAAGTAAGAGTTAAAGTACAGTACTAACATTGACCCATGGATAAGTTGCTTCTGGTTTTTAGGGTCAATTTTTGACTAAAATTTCTAGATTTATATATGAGTATATACAGTATAAGGTCTGTGAAGCCAGAGTTGTCCCTCATGCAATCCTTTTAGGGCCACACAACTTCATGGTGCTGTAGAGTCCTCCTAGGAGCCAGTGTGATACAGTAGTTTGAGTGTTGGATTATGACTCTGGAAGCCAGGATTTTGGTTAGCCATGGAAACCCACTGGGTGACCTTGAGCAAGTCAAACTCTCTCAGCTTCAGAGGAAGGCAAAGGCAATCCCCCTGTGAATAAATCTTGCCAAGGAAACTTCATGATAGCTTCACCTTAAGATTGCCATAAGTTGGAAATGACTTGAAGGCACACAACAAAACAGAGTCATCCTGCACAATACAGTGCTGTAGTATAGCAGCACAGTGCATCTTTTCCCCTTTCATAATTGGAAAAGCAGCTACAAAAGCCATTATATTTCTTGTCTGCATCAATAAGAGTGTAGTGTCTAGATCAGTGACTGGCAACCTACGGCCCGCGGGCTGGTTAAGGCCCAGGTCCCTGGACTTACCGGCCCAGGTAGAAGGTTGCCGCCGCCGCCGTGCGTGCCGCAACCACCATTTTAAAAATCAAAATGGTGGTCGCAAGTGGTGGCTGCCATTTTGGAAATCAAAATGGTGGCCGTGACTTGTTTGCGCATGCGCAGGAGTACTGTACATGCAAACGCGTTGCGACCGCCATTTTGAAAATCAAAATGGTGGCCACAGCGCACGTGGAGACGGCTGTGCAGCGGCGGTGGCGGTGGCAGCATGCGCACATGCGCACGCTGCCATCCCCCCCCGGCCCAGCAGCGGGAGGGATTTCGCGGGACCGACCGCAAGCTCAAAAAGGTTGCCTACCCCTGGTCTAGATCAAGGTAAGTAATAGTACCACTCTAATCTACTTTGGTTAGATCTCACCTGGAATACTGTGTCCAGTTCAGGGCACCATAATTTGAGAGGAATATTGACAAGCCCTATGAGGATTGACTTAGGGAGCTGGGTATGTTTAGCCTGGAGAAGAAAAGGTTAAGAGGAGGTATGATAGACATATTTAAATATTTAAACTGTCATATTGAAGATGGAGAAAGCTTGTTTTCTGCTACTCCAGAAACTTGGATATGGAGTAAGGGATGCAAGCTCCAGGAAAAGAGATTCCACCTAAACATTAGGAGCAACTTCCTGACAGTGAGAGCTGTTCGAAAGTGGAACACACTCCCTCAGAGAGTGATGAATTCTCCTTCTTTGGAGGACTTTAATCAGAGGCTGGATGGCCATCTATCTGTTGGGCATGCATTGATTGTGTATTTTTGCATGGCAGGGGATTGGACAGGATGGCTCTTGTGGTTTCTTCCAACTCTGTGATTCTAAAGATACTGCAGGGTGTACTCATCACAGGTTTATAGAGATGTAGAAATTGTTAATATTGTGTTATTGTGTTATAGCTCCATATTTATGTGCATACTTACAATAGATTGATTTATATCTCTGAGCTTGGCTTTGTCGTATATATTTGATGATGCATGGTGATGATTTGAGACAGTGAGCAGCCATCTCTGGTTGTTCTCTTTCTAGTTGTGTCTCTTTCTTTTCTAATTGCAGTTTTCATATTGTGTAGTAATCAAGCTTTTTGTCAAAGGGGAGGGACGTGTGTTCTTAGAAATTGTTTTCTATTGAAAAGTCTAGTAATTTGGTGCATGCCTTCTGAATGCTGGGGTAAAAACTGAATTGACTGAATTGTATTGTGGAGTTTCATTAAAGCTTGTTAGCAATTCTGTTTTTAGCTTGTTTTTTTTGTGGCCTGGTGTGTAAATGAGACTGGGGCTGCTGCCACACTGCAGAAATAATGAAGTTTGACACTCCTTTAACTGCCATGACTCCATCCTGTTGAATCCTGAGATTTGGAGTTTGTTGTGGCACCATAGCTCTCTGACAGAGAAAGCTAAATATCTCACAAAATTATAAATCCCAGAATCCCATAGCACTGAGCTATGGCAGTTAAAGCAATTTAAAACTGCATTGATTTTGCAGTGTAGATGCAGCCTAACCTAACCACTATGATGTTGTGGAGAAAAGTCCAGACTTGTGGTTTCTGTTTTATTTTGTTTTTGTTTTAACCAGAAGCTCAAGGTCCAGCAATAATAACTGGACCTATTTACAAAATAGTGGCTCAGCGATAGAGTGGGCATACACTTAAGAAACAGGGTGCCTCTGAGCACAAGCTCTGATCAGGAATTTCTTTTCAGTATCAAATTTTATCTCAAAAACCTATCATCAATAAAAATAAATCTGATTTTTTCCTTCCAGCTCCCCCCCCCCCCGATTTAATGTCATCTTCTTTGGTGATGAACTCATACATACCCTCCAATGGTCCTGATCTGACAGGGACAGACCTCTCTCATTCCACTTTTCCACTTTTTAAAATGTCCCACTTTGTCTCCCCTCCTTCCACTTTCCCCCTTTTTCCTTAGCATAGTTCAGTTGTTGCAAATTCAAAGTGCTAAAGTAGTTTGGACTAATTTAGCTCAGTGGAGGGAGAGGAAAGGAGGAAGGGAATCTTGACTTTCTGACAAGGCTCAGGCAAAAGCAAACTGCTACAGCCCCTCCTGGCTTGTGTGCTCTACCTCAATAAAATTTGTCATCTGAGTGGCTCCCTGATGTTGTTTGGTCACATGTATCCCAGTTTTCATTCTGTGAAATATTGGAGGGTATACTCATGGAAGGTGTGAAAGAATTACCCTACTTGTCAGAAATGAGCCATCAGCTTGTCAGCCTGATACAGTGGGCTGTTCTTATCCACGGGAGTTTGGTTCTGTGCTCCCCATATAGATGAAAAAAATACATTGGAATTCAAACCCATATTTGTCAAGGGGTGGCAATGGGTGCACTAGCATCAGCTTGTCTGTTGAGTAATATGAAGAGGAGTGATCCATGGGAGCTCTAATGAGAAGGTGCAGTTGGGTTCAGGAAAGGCAGAGGTGCTAGGGATCACAATGGAAACACAGATGGATAATGGAGGGCACCAGGGAATTCCAGCAGAAAACCAGCCTGTGTTTTATAAAATACAGCCTTTGACTACATAGATTAAAAGAAAACTATGGACTGATTTTTAAAAAATGGGTGTACCATTACATTTGACTGTCCTGATGTGTACCCTGTACTTAGGACAGGAGGCTACTGTTAGAACAGAATATGGAGAAACAAAATGGTTCCCAACCAGAAAGGGGACAGACAAGGATGCATATTATCATCTTATTTGCTCAACTTGTATGCAGAAAACATCTTATACAGAGCAAGTTTAGATTCATAGAAGGAGGAGTGAACGTTGGGGGGGGGGGAAATATCAACAATCTAAGATATACAGACATACTAACAGCATTAAACAACAGACTTGGAACACTTACTAAAAAAAGGTCAAAGAACAAAGTGCTAAGGCAAGTTTGATATTGAACATTAAGAAAACAAAAGTAATGACCATGGAGGATTATAGATGATGAGGAAATTGAAATAGTTGAAAATTTCCCATACCTTGGGAACTTGTTGATCAGAACAGAGATTGCAGTCAAAAAATCAGAAGAAATTAGGAATAGGAAGGGTAGCTATGAAATTGCTAGACAGAATTTTAAAATGCAAAGATATAAAACTGAATGCTAAAGTTAGGATTGTCCAAACCATTGTATTTTCCATCAACATGTACGAGTGTAAGAGTTGGACAGTGAAGAAAGCTGATAGAAAGAAAAACAACTTATTTGAGATGTGGTGCTGGAGAAGAGTGCTGATGACAATAATATGTTTGCGTTGCAGAGGGGCAGGATCGAAATAAATATTATTATTATTATTATTATTATTATTATTAATGCTAGGAAAGGTGGAGAGCAGTAGAAAGGGAGGAAGACTGCATACCAGATGGATCAACTCAATCAAGGAGGCAACAGCCATGAGCCTATGGCACCTGAGCAGATCAGTTTAGGACACGGGTGTCTTTAAGGAGTCTCATTCATATGGTTGCCATGTGTCAGAGTGGACTCAAGGGCAGACAACAAAAACAACATAATATGTGTTGTGCATTTTTGTATTTTCCTTTCACCTTTGGGCATGTCAACAGCTGAATGTCTTTTGGCTTAAGTCCAGTTGCATTATTAGCCACAGCACTACTCATAGTTACCCTCTGCTGTACCCCAGTAGATAGATGAGTGACATCCGACCTGGGAGTTTCATCTTCTAGCATTATAGTTTGTTTCATTTTGGATTGTCTCATAGGATTTTCAT